TTATTTTTCATGCAACCATCTACACCAAAGTTAATAATTGACTGAGTTGGGAAATCAATTCCTCTGTTACTCATAAATTTTATAAACTATGATTATCTACTAGTTGATAATTAAATGTTCTATAGTTATACTATGATATGACATAAAAATTGACTTGTGTATAATCAGCTCTTTCATTCACAAAGTTTTTCCTTCATAAGTTCTAGTATAGATTACGTTATTGTTAAATCTTGTTCAAATATTAGTACTTTGTACTATACGGTTGTTTCACAATTTTCAAATGATGCAATTAGAACGTTTTCTGAATGTGACACTCATATATTTGTTTTAGCTAAACGCTTCACTTTCCGATTTTTACTTACTGTTATTCGAAACTTTATTCACAATCTTAATCTATTCAAAACAGCTTCTCAAAATCCAAATGTATTACGCAAACAACGTATTACAACTTATCTATTTCTCTTATATACCGTAGTCAGCATTATTATATACAGTTTCTATCTTATTCTCAGTTCTCATACAAAGACTATCATGGTAAATAACCCATCTTCAGACGACTATAGACATCTCTGGACAATGTATTCCGATAATGTTAACTGCCCGTGCTCCCAAATTACTGTTCCATACTCGAGTTTTATTCAAATTGTGCCAACATTTCATCAATTATGTTCCAGTATGTTTATTTCTACAGAATGGTTCAACAATTTGCTGAGAATAGAACTTCTTGATACTATATATTATCAAAATAGTTTTAAAGAGTTGATTGGAGCATATTATTTCAAAGCTCTTTCCGTATTTTGTTCAATAGCGAATAAAACTATGTTAGATGCGTATCAAGTGTTCTATGCCAATGTATTAGTCAATGACCGTATTCAGTCAGAAAATATCTTTAACATTGAAATGAAAGATCTGATTGATAAGTTCACCGACTCGACACGTTCTGAATTTTATCATATTTTATCAATAACGCGAACTCTGATGAATGCGAATGCATTTCTTAGCAAAATGAGGATAAAATCACAATTGTTTCTAATAGGCAGCACCGAAATATATATAACACCATTATTTTTATCGTCTGGTAGCGGGCATATTGGTCATACTTGCTCTTGCTTATTGCAAAGTTTTGATTGCTATGAATATACATTTATGTTGTATCCTACCAGCTCACCTAGCTATAAAGAATTCACAGCTATACAAAGTAAATGTTTGATAACGGAAACAGTACTCACATCATCATTGAAGTGTTGGTTCAATAATTCTTGTTTGAATGTCGTACACAATTATTATGTCATCATGGGTGTTGATAATCTTATCGATATAAATCCCCTTGATATAAATAATTCAAGTAAATTCATGATTAATGACACAATGGAAGTATTGATGAATGTTCTCTTACTTGAAAATCAAACAGTCAACATTTCTTATGATCAATATTACAATAAATGCTCTCCTTTGTTTTGTACCTATGATATTCAACAACGATTCGACTTGATATTTTTGATAACCAGTATTGCAGCTATGTATGGAATTTTAAGTAAAATTCTTCGATCGATTTTACCAATGCTGGTTCAGTTAATATTTATTACTTGGAAACGATTTCGACCACCAGATCTTTCTACTAATCAATCAATATCTGTAACTCAACACATTCAATGTAACAGTAAGTAACTGTATATACTTAATTTTTTAAGATGGCGCATAAATTTGTTATACATTTCAAGTCATTAGTAACATTATAATCCTTAACATTGTTTCAAAACTCGTATTCGAAATAGAAGCAGCTTATACGCCGACTATAGAGTCTCCGTTTCTTTAGAAAAATCGAATAATAGTTACAGCACTATCTGACAAAGAATATTTCATTCAAAAGGATGGTTGCCTTTGTGATGCAATCGTGGTTGTTTCTCTGAATTTCCGAAAAAAAAACTCTATGAACAGAGCAGGAATTTGACAAAGCTATTGGCATTGTAGAAGAAACGACTAAAAAGAAACTGAAAGTTCTTAATGAGTTATGATGCTGACAAAGATGCAAGAACATTTTGCTAAATGAGTAACGCTCCACACTGTAAAAATTGAGGTCTTTCTGGAGTATCGAAAAGCATCCTTAGAAATATTCTACATCGCTAGAATGTCATGCGAGTTTGCACTAAAAATGTCACATGAAGCATGGTAGGATACTAGAACTTAAAATTATAAAAGAAAAAGTATCACAATACGTATACAATGATTCATATGCGGCGATAACTATAAATGAATCACATTTTTATGAACAAATATAGTAAAATTCTTCAAAAACTGCAACATTCATACATCAATTATCAGTTACTTTTAATATCTTCTTCATGAGTAAACATATAAAATTGATCTTGGTCAATAAAATTAATAATTTTACTTAGTTGAGATTTATTGGAAATATAGAAGATATCATGTGATTTGTTGAATGAATTCTAAGAATTCTATGAAAATATTCATACAATGAGACTCACTTTTAGCTGTCTTCAATTTTAGACCAAACGACTTCGTACATTAGTCGAATTCGAGAATATATAGTTACATTCAATCTCTTTGAAACAAACTCTAACATAAATTCTGTTCAGAGACAAGAAATTATGTCGACACGAATCTATCTCATTTTATTGGTTGGTTTCACGATTCTTTTATTCTTCTATGTTGGACTAGTTGAACGATCATCGACTATAATAGTTCCAACTCCTTCTCTATCAACTTATACGAATCTACAACATATTTACTCTGATACTCTACGATGCCCTTGTTCAAACATATCCATATCATTCAAAGAATTTACTATCTCTCTCAATGTTACATCTCACCCCATTTGTACCAGCAATAGGCTACAGATTTTGTCCAAATACTTCGAGGTATATAACACAGTATACATATGGTGGCTTCAGCGAATCGATTTTCGGCAATGGGGTACAGCATTTTTTAATTTCCTTAATGTGCTTTGTGCTCAAGCAAACTTGACAGTGATTAACTCTATTGAACAATATTACTCGCATTTATTTTTGTCAGTTGAAGTCATGCCTGATGTTCTATTTTTCAAAAACATTGACACTGAATTCAGATCGTTACAGCAATCAATATTGAGCGAATGGCTTCATCTGTTGCAAATGTTTCGTGATTTTTCTCAAGGTAACGGTTTAATTTCAATTTTGGGAACTAACGTAGAAATGGAACTTGAAGAAACATCTGCTAATGGTCAAGTTCTTATCCTCCCCAAAACATACAATAATGGAACTTGTTCATGTGCTACTTCAAGTAAATGCATGGAGCCAGCAGGTTTCTACAATCGAAGTCTCCACAAATTATATACTATTAGCGATATCTTCATAGGCTGCTTCTTACTTGAATCAATTTTCCATTCGTCTCTTTCTTGTTTCTTCTCAAATTCTTGCATAATAGATCTTATGAATGCAACTAATCTTGGAGATCCAGATCAAACCGGTATGCCATACATAGTTGATATTTTTCCATTGCAGTTTTCCTCATCTGTTTCAAATTTTGCCATTAATGATACAATTGAAACTATCGCCAATCGAGTATTCATTGACTTTTGGTCAAATGACACGTCCTATGAGCAATATTACACTGCGTGTGCGCCAATATCCTGCAGTTACGTCAAACAGCAGCATTTGAATCCTCTTTATGCACTGACAATGTTCTTAAATATATTTAGTGGACTTTCAGTTGTACTTAAATATATAGTTCCATTTTTAGTTAGAATGGCATATAAGTTACTTCGTCATTTCAAATCATCACGAGTATCATCGAGTTATTAATCCGTAGTACCCAAACAGACATATTTTTCAAACATGATACAACACCAATACAAAAACCATTGATTTTCAAATATTTAATAAAGCTTAGGACAAAAATCAACTGATATAAATACTATTGTTGATTTTAAATATTATTTACTTCACTATTTTAAATAAATTAATAACTATTGGTCAAGTAATCAGTATAAAAGAAAGTTATTTAAAATACTTAGTCCAAATTCCCATCCATACATAGGAACACATGACTTGACACGTGCAAGTCAATACCCACGAATCTTTGATTTTTCATATGACATCCTGTTCAGTTGAGTGAATAAAAATATCAGAATAATGATATGATTGTAAGTTAATAACAAAGAAAAACTATATGCAAAGTTTTTTTCAAAATAAAGTGAATAATTCTTTGATATATGAACCACGGAAAAATAGGAAAAAAAAGCTATTAAATCACAGTTGACTTAACTATCATTTCGTTTTGTGCTGATAACAGCTTCATTTACCATGTGTTACTTTTCTTTCTCCAAGCATCTGTAAGTACACAAGTAAGTATGCGTTGGTGTTAGTCGTGTGGGTGTGGATGTGAGTGGTGTGAGTGTGAGTGTGGGTGTGGGTGGGTGTGTAAAGAGTTACCACGATAACCTAATTTTAGATTATTTCGAATGTTGCTAACTCAAATTCTTATCAAGTGGCCTCAGTACCAGTTTCAAATGATCTACACTGTAAAAAATAGGCGTAGAATAATAAACCCTTCAAAAGGGTTTATTAGCCTTATAAACGCTTTCATATACCCTTTTAGTGTCATAAACCCTTTCATGTACCCTTTTCCTTCATAAATCCTAGGAAGGGTATATTATTCGTTGCACTTTCATAAACCCTTTAGGGTATATGAGCTGTAATATACCCTTAAAGGGTTTATTAACTTCATAAACCCTTCGGAAAAGCGTATATTAATGGGTCTGGCTCACTTGGCCGACATTCACTTGGCCGACATATCACTTGACCGACACCACTTAACCGACAGATTGTTTGGCCGACAGGTACACTTGACCGACAAATTGTTTGGCCGACAGGTACACTTGGCCGACAATTTATTTTGCCGACAAAAATTTATTATTACGATATAAAAGCTAATTTATTTTTTTTACAAAATTCTTTCTTTTCTTGGAGTTTTCAAACACTTTTAATAAAGATTACAAATATTTATAGTGAAAGATTATGGGCAATGCCCCGAAGAAAATCGATAGTTGATCTATTACCGCGATCAGCAATGACATTTTGAATTCTGAATTCTCTGTTTTCATCTTCTTTGCGCTTCTTTGGAGCTGGTTCTCCACGCATTGATTTTTCAATTTCCATTTCAACTTCGTTCTGTTCTTTTTGAATCTGTTTAATCATAGTGAAAATACCCACATGAGATCGATCAATTAATATTTCCCAGCGTCTATGCCAGGCTTCAACCTTGTTTTGAGTTCTTGGAAATGCAAATTCCATGTTATCGAAGACAGACCACATTTCTGGTGGAAACAATGGATTATGTCTTTTAATTGTGCCATTTCTTAATGTTCTTTTGATTCTTCCATGTACATAGTTATTTTCAAACCATTGAACTATCGGTTCAGCATCGGAAGGTAGTAAAGCTTTCACTTCGTCGAAAGCATCAGGAATTTCCAAAGGACTTAAAAAAGCTAAAGCCGGAATATGTCTGATAAGAAGACTAAATTTTTCGTCAGTTCCGTATTTTTGCGTCAATCCTGCATCTTGAACTTGTCTGTATACAGCTTGCCCTAAGTGAAAATGACAGCCTTTACTTTGAGCACTTGAAAATTCTGATTTTACTGCATTGATTGAACCTTTTTCAAAATCAGTTAACACAAAATCTGGTTTTAATTCCAACCCATGTTCTTCTGCCGCTTCATTTAATTCCTGAAATAATCTTTGATATAATTCTTCGCTTTTCATAGTCATCAGTGCGTAAACCAGTGGAACAATTCGGAAGTTAACACTTCCGCCTGCAGGTGCGTGAATGCTGTATAACTGACGAAAAAGTGTTGGAACAGTTTTAAATGTTCCATCCATAATCCAAAATTTCGCTTCCTGCAGCCATTTAAGATTTTCACTTGTTGTGAAAAGCAAAATTCTTTGAGTTCCATCGGTAATATCTTTTGCAAAATGCATTCCACTGAGTGTAGTACAATATGCATCTGGTAATTTAAAATCATCCAAAGTTTTCGGTTCAGCTTCTTCTTCACAAACACGTCTTGCTCTTTTAATTTGTTGTCTTGCAGCATCTTTTCCTGGTAAACATGGTTGTATATCACGCGATGTTGTAGCAATAATATTATTAATAATTCGTGCAGGTTGATCGTTGCTAATTTGACCTAATTCCTTCATTTGCATGCAGGCTTTCAAAACTTCAGGTTTGCTTGCTTGTGGTGCATGATTGTGTTGCTGAGCATAAAACTTGTGAATCTTATGTTGGTCTCCAATACAAATTGTAGTGGCTCTTGCAGTACATTTTGTTTCCTTTTGTGATTTGCGTTCACAAACCCAATAATACAAATCATCACGGTTTTTGTCTTTGACGTACAGAAACCCGTCAATGTTTATTTTGATCTTGCCTTTGGTTGATTTAATCACTTCAGCATAACTGCTTGTAGCGATGTCACTATTTTCATTTGAAGCCATGAATGAATTGTAAATTGTGGTGAAATCTATATCTCTTTATCTATATATATCACCATCCATACTCGCATATACGTCCAATTTCGGATTAATCTAGGCAATCTCAGATTCGTCTGAAAATTGTACGTCCAATGTGACATTGGCCTAGGCCAATCCAAGATTGCACGCATTCGAGTATGAACGCTGACATATATATCACTATATGTACAATAAATTAAAATTTTTTTTGACTTCAAATTTTTGTCGGCAAAATAAATTGTCGGCCAAGTGTACCTGTCGGCCAAACAATTTGTCGGTCAAGTGTACCTGTCGGCCAAACAATCTGTCGGTTAAGTGGTGTCGGTCAAGTGATGTGTCGGCCAAGTGAATGTCGGTCAAGTGAACGCGACCCATATTAATATACCATTTAGAAGAAATCGTAGAATAAAAAACCCTTTTCCGAAGGGTTTATAAAGTTAATAAACCCTTTAAGGGTATATTACAGCTCATATACCCTAAAGGGTTTATGAAAGTGCAACGAATAAAATACCCTTCCTAGGGTTTATGAAGGAAAAGGGTATATGAAAGGGTTTATGACACTAAAAGGGTATATGAAAGCGTTTATAAGGCTAATAAACCCTTTTGAAGGGTTTATTATTCTACCCCTATTTTTTACAGTGCACACCCACACCCACACACCCACACCCCACCCACACCCACACCCCACACACCCACACCCACACACCCATACCCACACCCACACCCACACACCCACCCACACCCCATCGTATCAAAACGTCTGGTGGAAAATACATCGAGAAGAAACGCGTAAACGATACTACCGAGTATAATATTTGAATAACAAACTTATCCTTTAGTTTGGTGAGCATTTGAAACAGTTTATTATGCTTTAATATCATAATTATGCAATAATTATGCGCTTCAATGCAGATTTCTATTTTAAAACTACTCATATCCAACTTCTGCTCGTTAAGAGAACTATTATAAATTCTACCATATGATTTGAAAAAGCAAACAGAAAATTTTCTTTCATTGTAAAAAAAGACAATCGTTTATATGTCAAATAGAATAATAAACTTTTACAATGAAAAGATATCAAACGAAGTAAAATAACAGAAATAGAACATTTCAACATTAAAAAAAAATTCTTTAAACTTTGCGACTACTATGGTTAGTTAAATACAAAAAGTAAATACGTCTTTTAAATAAATTATGAGTTGTAGATCAACATCAAATAAAAGATATTTTCATTAAAAAAGAAAAAATTCCAGAGAATCCAGAGTTTTTGAGAAATCAATAATTGATTAACGTGCCGATCAGCAGCAGACAAACATAAAGAAAACGGATCACTAAAAAGAAATATTTATTTTTATATGAATGCCACGTTTTTTTTTTGAAATTAGCATTTTCCAATTTTTGTTGTTTTTAAATAATCTTTCTGTTTAATCTGGTAAGTATTTAACATCTACGGAAAGAGTCTGAAACGACTTGGTATTGATTCTGAAAATATGCAGCGAAAGAACGCCAAAATATAATCCAATAATAGAAGTACCATATAATAAGCCATAATATGACACTATCAATTTAAGAAATTTTGTCGATTATGCGACGAACAAAGTCGCGTTCATCATTGGATGGTATTTGAGGCATATTGCTAATAACAGATCTATGTAGAATGTCATCGTAAGAGCGAGGTCGATCTTCAGGATTTCGCTTCAACCTAAAATGTGGACATGTACATAAAATATCAATTCAAATGAAAACTACTTACAAATCCTGAATAAGTTGTTGCATTTCATTAGAGACTGTCGTAGGAACTTTAGGTTCCCAGTATGGAAGTTTAAAAGGTAAGGCATTAGGATCCACATTGTAGAACGGATGTTGACCATTAATAATTTCCAACAAACTAATACCCAATGCCCACATGTCATCTTGAATGCTAGAAGGGAACTGTGGACGTGGTGGTCTGTAAGATTCAGTGCCACCATCAAAGAAGAAATCTGGATTTTCATTCAGATCAACGGAAACACCGAAATCGCACAATTTAACTATACCATCATTATTGATAAGCATATTATCAGGTTTTATATCTCTATGAATGATTCTTTCATTATGTAAAATATGAAGTGCTGATACAATCTATAACGAAAGATAACAACAATAATGAACTGATAATCATAAGTTTCTTACATTGTATACGACACGGTGCGCCAAAAGATCAACATTAGTGCGCAAAACTTCATTTGATTGATGCATCACTGAATAAAATTTCTTCATTGATGTATGAAAATATTCCATACAGATATGCAAGTCCCCAGTTTCCTACAAAAATGACATAAAATACATTAAAACTAGAAATATAGAAAAAAAAAATCAATAAATACAGGATGAACTACTGCACAGTAGTAATTGACAATATAAGGTGTATTGTTGGAAGCAACCTTTTCCATTATTGATAATTCAATATCTTCTGACGTTCGTCCATTTACCTGTTTTCCATTTGTAGCACACTAAAATGTACAATATTCACGTTAAGTAATATGAATGTTATTGAGAAATGAAAAGATCAATTTGAATTTCTATTCATCTTCTTGAAAACGAAGGAAATGAGGAATTATTCCATTAAGAATTTTCCCAGTTAAAAGACTCTTTTATGTTAAAATACTTCAATCTTTTTTAGGATCTTTCTCAATCAGAATAAGCTTATATTAAAGAGGTACAAAAATTCAACAACGCTTCTCTTACTAAAAACGAGATATTTCAGACTTATGAACATCTGATTACATTCTGTGTTACAGATTAATATTCATAAAAAGAAAAGTATGAATATTTCTTTTCTGTGGACTGCGTACTTTAACTGCCATACAGTCGTTAGGCAATCCTTTTATCATGGCTTGACGAACTGCACCGAAGCTTCCTGAACCGAGTTCTGCACTGTTATCGAATTCGTCGATGTTCACTGTAAATACTTTACCATCATATGTGAATTTATTTGTACCTTTGGGTATATTCGATCTAAAAATAACATAGAAAAAGAATTGTCTTGTTCGACGAAATGTTTTACCGATATTTGCTTGGTGTGCTCGGTTGTTGTGGTGCTAGAATAAGCTTGTCAATGAAACTTAGCTTTCCTAAAACAAATGATAAAAATTTTTAAATTCAAAATAATCATCTAAATATTTAGATTTTAGAGATGAAAGTTTTAAATGAACTGCTTTAGTTTAGATTAAAACTTTTCTGAAGAGACTCTTGTCATGGAGAAGACAAAAATTTGATTCTAAATTTTATCACATGGCCAGTTTTATATTAAAGTAGTATACCTACTTCATTATATCAAGACATATTTGCACTAAAAGTTTTTTGACAAATTTCTCTATACATTTATGTTCCAATTGAGGAATTTGAGGGATCTAAGACAAAATGCAATGACTCACGAAAATATTTATATGTTTCTCAGTATATGAAATTGAGTGTTTCTCGTCTTTGAATCATTATTTTTTTTCAGCATTACTTCGTTTATCTAATTCTGTATTATTAAAATTACATAGAAATTAGAAGATGATGAATGTGATAAAAGAGCAAGTAGAATTGTGTTTCTTTTAAAAAACTATACAAGAATAGATGAATAGAACCAAATTACTTTCATAATGAGGTCATTCAAAATGCGACTTTGTTGTATTCAAGAGAGAAATCGATTAATATATATTTCTTATATTTGGCTTATTAATTTGAATCTAATAGCTATCTCACTATTGATGAATATCTAAATCAATAAACTCGATTGTACTTTTTTCTATTGTCAATTATTTTATAAACATTTCACTGTAAAAGTAATCTATCAAAATTTAACTTCGGTAACGTTCTCTGACATTATCAGAATAGTTATCAATGCTTAAAATTTTCATTCCTATAAATAATGTTCACAAAAAAAATCATACTTCGTCTGCGTCGACTTGCAATGCCTTGGCGATCATCATTAACAGAAACTTGTCGAGATCTTTCATTTCGTTCAATAACTTGTCTGGCTTCTTTTCCTAAGTAAGATCAAACATTGACATTTTATCACATTACAATAAACTTCGGATTAAAATTACCTGATTCTGATAATTGTTCATTGCCAAAATTATTTACAAGCAAAGTTACAATTGGTGTTAGAGGTTGGGCTGTTCCGGGTAGTATTAACAGCTTTTTATCGACAGCATTCTCTACGGCCTGTTGTAAATCTTCTGTTTCTGCAGCTGGAAACAGAAAAATAAACAAACATTTTAATTACTCACTTTCTAGTATGAGAATGTTCGTATTTAACTTACGAATATTGACTATACCTGAAGCACACAATTCAGGAAAAAGTGTTGTCGTTTCATTTTCAGGCGAAACGTGTGGCTCTGCACACTCAGCATGATTGTCGCTTTCACTAGGCAACTCTTCCTGATGTAAATGATATTTATAAGGATCTGCGTCAGTATTTGTTTCCATCTAAAAATAAAATAGTTCGAAAATAGCACTCAATAAATATTACACTAATTTGTTTTGATATTCTGATTAACTAACTCGAGATGAATAATGGTTTTCAATTCTTTTCGTTAACTCTGTCAGATATTTTCTTATACAGATCGTTTAGTATATCTTTTCTAGTAATATGATACTAAAACTCTAAGTGAATTGTGGCAAAGAAAATAAAAAAAAGAAAAAAAAACAGAATTTCAGATCTTTTCATTTTATTTACTGTGAAATCAACTGTTATTCGTGGATTTCATTTACTTTTAATTTTACAAAATTTTGAATTTACTCAGATACCAAATATTTTCATTTTATCGTGTAACAGTCAAAATTACTTACGCGTGTATAATATACATGTGTAACATTTATCATGTACACTTGCTATATGAATATAGTGTAGCTATTCTAAACCTTTTTGGAAGATTTTTAAATAGTTTTTATAACATCCCAATAAAGTTTTAGAATGGATTTTAAAATCGAAGCCAGCCATTATTCGTATGATT